TGGAACAAATGTACATCCTTAACATCTCACCAAATTAGTAGTCCAACACAAACAAGATTGGATTTAACTCCTCCCCATCACTTTACTCCACATTTGTTTTACTCTCGAAAACCCCTCTTTTACAGCCCTTTTGAAATAATGTATGGCAGAACTATTATTCTGGGCCTGGGACCCCCTCCAGATTCTATCATAGGAAACTATTTTCTCATCCTCCAGGAAATCAAAGACAAACTTACAAAAATAATAAACCAACTCCTACCCCAACCCTCACCAGAAAAAGTCAGAGACCAACTGGCAGGACAAGTTTTCCTCAATCTCCCTTATCCCACAGGACACTATTCCCTCACTGGATGGGCTCTCACACAGATCTCTACAGCACCCCCACAGCTGTCTGACTCTTGGACCCCCCAGTCTGGATCCGCCAATCCTGAATAAAGCTGTTTCCTATAGAAAAACTTCCAACACTAGAAGACCCCCACTGGAAATCGCAAATACTATCCCCCACCATCTTAAAACTCACCAGCATCCCCGAAGGATCCACTTCTCCATAAACATGTAACATTCCTTCCTGATTCTTCCCTTCTCTCCATGACTTTTCTCAAGATGCCTGGCTACTTTGACACATTCAAAACTGGGATGACCTCTTTGAAGCCTTTAAAGGTCTGTGGCTACAAGGCACTTCCAAGACTTTCCCCCGGAGGAAACCCAATTTTTCCTCTTCCTACTTCTTTTCCTTCTGGCTACCCCTCCTGTCAATCCTGCCCCTTCTCCCCTCCCTATTGACCCTGATTGAATGCAGAGGTTGTTTTGCTACCTGATCTTCGTATATCCATGAATACCTCACCAACCCTCATTCCCATGTTGTCAACTATGCCTGATTCTTACCTCAGACCCCCTTATTCGCTAGCTACACTTACATGCCAGCATGCTGTAATGATGTTACCAAAGCCTCTGAATGTCCTTATGGAGGAAAGAGGTACTAGACTGGCAAAATAACCCACGCTGGATGTCCTGGAGGTGGAGTTGGGACTATTGTCTGCTGGACATACCTGACACATCAGATGGAGGAGGAGTTCAGGACATAGTACGTTAGCAAGAAACAAACAAACAAAAATCATTAAAAACTCTCTTCCAGGGCGGCACCTGTGGCTCAAAGGAGTCAGGCGCCAGGCCCATGTACCGGAGGTGGTGAGTTCAAACCTGGCCCCAGACAAAAATGACAAAAAAAAAAAAAAAAAAAAAAAAAACCTCTCGTCCAGTTTAACCTCCTCACCCTATAAAGGATTAGACCTTGCTGTTCTGCAAGACCTACAACAACAGTCTCTAATTCCTCAGCTTTTAAACACCTCCTTCTCAGTTGCCTTGAACTCTTCCTCTCTCCTCAGGATGCTGGGTGTGCCTTTCTCTATAACAAAATCTTTTTAATCCCACACCCGTATCTGACCCATATAACTCTTCTATTCTGGCAGAAAATAGCAAAGCTCTGTTTGGCCCCATAGCCACAGACTTTCCAGCCCTAGCCTCCCCCAATTTAACATGCTTCAATCTCACCAGTACAGGAGACTCTGTAGGCTTTATAAAACCTGATCTCTGCTCTCTCAAGTCAACTTTTCCCTTATCTGACTCCTCCTGTACCCCTCTGGGAATATTTTTCCTCTGTGGCTGCTCCATCTATTGGTGCCTGCACGCTAACCACGCTAACCATTCTGGTCTTTGCACCCAAGTTTTCCTCATCCCCCAAGTCTCTTTTGTGAATGACTCCACCCTAACTCAGGCCCTAATGCATCCTCCTACTTTCAGACAAAAAAAGAGGCATCATCCTCCCTGTACTCCTTGGAGCAGGCACAGTGTCTGGAATTGGCACCAGCATTGTAGGCATAAGTATATCAACCCACTTTTACCACAATCTCTCCCTAGAACTTGATGAAGACATGGGAAAAGTAGCGGACTCTTTAGTCACCCTACAATCCCAAATTAATTATTCAGTCTTAGATTTATGTACATCAGAAAAAGGAGGCACATGGGTATTTTTGGAAGAGGAATGTTGTTTCTTTGTGAACCAATAAGGAATAATCACAGGCAAAGTAAAAGAACTCCAAGAACAAATCAAATAGATCTTGAATCATCTAGTCCCTGGTCTTCATTCAATTCCTGGCCTTCTTGCTTATTTCCTATTTTAGGGCCACTAATTAAGACCTTTCTCATTCTCAGTTTCAGACCAGTAATCTTCCCACTCATCCTCTGATTTATTGACCAGGCAGTCATCTGAAAAACAGCCACTCATATCCTCACCCTACATGGATATCAACCAGTTCAGACTGAAGACCCAAGAGTGTTCCTGTAAACACCACTCCCTTCCCCCTCCCTCTGACCCTCAACCCCCTTGAAACAGTCAAAGAGATGCCATGCCCATCACCCCACCTCCTTAGACTAATTAGACTAGGATGACAGGGCCAAATTTAGGGACCTGCCCAGATGTCCTGTCCAAGAAAGAATGAGTGCATGAAAGTCCTGCCCAGGAAGGAATGAATGAGCCTATCCCTACCCCTCCAAACTTTTTTATTCCCAGCCACCTCACTGGCACCCGAGGGCCATGTTGCCTACACAGAACCTGGACTCCAATTCCTTTTGTTCATGTCTTGGAATAACCTCTCATTTTTGGTCCTTAACCTCTTAGAGACCAGCCTGAGCAACAGCCAGACCCCTCTATATCTAAAAATAGAAAAACTACCCAAGCTTTGTGGCGGGTCCCTCACCTGTAGTCCCAGCTATTGGGGAGGCTGAGGCAAGAGGATGGATCCCTTGAGCTCAAGAATTTGAGGCTGCTGTGAGCTATGAAGCCAGGGCAACAGAGTGGGGTGGAT